GAGCGGGGCGGTGCCGAACGCAGCTCCCCTGCGGCCGTGCGGGCTCTGCTGCCGGCGCAGCCCGGCCGGGGAAGCGGCCGCGCCGGTGCCGGTGCCCGCTCCGCTCCGCTCCGGGCCCTGCCCGCCGGGGCCGCCTCCCTCCCTCCCTCCCTCCGCGCCGCGGGCTGCCCGCCCCGCCGCCGCAGCCGCCCGCCGGCGGGAGCACCCACCTGCAGTCCTTCAGCCATATCGCGATCTTCTCGTTGGGAACGCTGTGGCAGCCTTAGGGGCAGAGCAGGAGAGAAGCCGACAGTCAGTAACAGCGAGGCCGCCCCGCGCGGGTCCCGGTGGCCCGCGGGCTGCCGCCCCCGGCACTGACCTGCTCCTGCGGCCAGCGGCAGCGCGCCGCCGCCGACATCCTCCTCCTCCTCTTCCTCCTCCTCTTCTTCTTCCTCCTCCTCCTCCTCCTCCTCCTTGCCGCGGGCCAGCGCCGCTGCCGAGAAATCCTCCGCTTCCGACGCCTGCCAGGAGTCGCGGCTCTTGGCCCAGGCCTTCCTCTTCTGGGTCGCCCCGTGCCACTCCTCCGCCGCCGTGGGCTGCTCCATCGGGGCGGCGGCGCCGGCGGGCGCTTCACGCCGGGAGGCGAGTGCCGGAGGGAGCCAGCCTGCCGGGCGAGCGGAGATGTGCCGTCCGTCCGGCTGTCCGGGTGCCGCGGGGCTGCCGCGGGGCGCGGGGCCGCCGTCCGCGCAGCCCCCGGGAGCGCGGCCGCCCCTCCCCGCGCTCCCCCCCGGCCCGGCCCGCCCCCAGACCCGGTCACCGCCGCCCCCCGCCGTCCCCCGGCCCCGCAGGTGTCCGCCCCGGCCCGCCGCGGTCCGCGGCCAGCGGGCGGGCAGGGCTCGGGCTGCCCGCGGTACTCACATGTCGCGGCGCGGCGAGGCGGCGGCGGAGGCTGCGCCCGCCCCGGCTGCGGGCGGCGGCGGCGGCTCTGACTTCCTCATACCGCTGCGGGATGAGAAAACTCGGCGCCCACGTGACGGCGGCGGGGCCGGCGGCAGAGCGGGGCCTCCCGCCGGGGCCGGGCCGCCGGCCCGGGGCAGGGATGCCGGGCAGGGATGCGGGGCCGGGCCCGCCGGCGCTGCCGCAGCGCCGGCCCCTCGCGGCCCCTGCCCGAGGGCAGGCTCGAAGGGCCGCCCATGGCCTGGGCCCCTAAAGGATGTTTCCAAACGAAAAAAAATACAGAGCAGCCAAGAGGGATTTTGCGGGGTTTTATCCTCGGGGAACGGGAGTGAGGAGGAGAGAGAAGGCACAAGGGAAGGATACAGGATGTGTACTGGGTGCGCACAGCCTTCTGCCTGGCTTCCAGGGGTGTGAAATTAGATCAGCCTCTGCCCGGGCACAGCCTGGGTGCTGCAAGGACACCAGAAGTTAAAAATCTTAGGTGCGTTTGAAGCCTTTATCATCTCCTTCAGGATGTACTTAAGCCACCAGAACCAACTGAAAACGCAGCAAAAGACGAACGAGTCCCCATATGTGGGAAGGAGGTGCCGACAAAAGGCCGTTTTCATTGCGGGAGCCGAGTGCCATTTCTTAAGCACTGTCTCCTGCTTGTGGAGGGGACAGCAACCTGACAGCAGCCCTGGCTCGGTCACCCACTGGGGGCATAGTGCTGGTGGGCACCCTGCATGGGGAGCAGGGCACTGCCGTCCTGCGTGGGGTCAGGCTTCACATCCCAGACACTGCTGGAGCAGCCCTGCACGCCCAGCGAGCTCACCTGCAGCCACAGAGCCTGGGAGAAATAAGCTTTTGAAAAAGGTCTTTTACAACATTTTCATGAAAAGGTGCTGAATTAGTAAGCATAAGCAGCAAAATTTACCTGTGTTCTCTGGAGTTCTAAAACTGGTGTTGGCAGCCAGGCACATGATGTACTTCATGTTTAAAGGCAAATTTGCCTTTGGAAGGAAAAGGTTAGTGGTAGTCAATCAATATTCTTTCATTATCTTGCTATATAGTTAAAACCTTTCAAGGAGTTTCTTTGAAAATTTCCCCTATAAAATAAAAAACTGGCTTAATAAGAAAAAACTTGTTTTTCCTAAACCGCTCTAGCCCACCCACTGCTTTACCCATATACAGCCTTACTAAGATAAATTTCCCCTTATCACAAGTCATTTTTGTAAACACACTCTAATTTTCTGAATGGTTTATATTGAACTAAAACCAGAAGAACCGTAGCAAAAAGGACAAAGAAAGTGTATTTGTATTTGTATTTAATTTGACCCTGAAAGTACACATCATTTTTGTGCATGTTTTGAGATGGTATTTTTGAATTTCTTTAAAGAAAGAGCAAACTACATTTCAATTTATTTTGTTGATCCTCAGAATAATCAAATCATTTTCTCAGCAGGGCATGTTTCACACAGTACAGAATTTGCATGAGCTAATATGGAGTGTGTCCTGAGCCATGGGTGTTCCAAGTGGTGAGTCAGAGGGTCGGCAAAGGTCCTGTGCCCTCCACAGCAGCGCTGGGGCTTGGACTTTGGCTAAGGTTCCTCACAGGTGTATTTATAGTACTGGAATCTTAAAATCTGATTTTTTCTGGCTTTTTTTGGCAAGTGCCTAGGACAGCATTTCTTCAACATAATGGCCTATATTTCCATTTTATGTGTATTCATAAATAGATGTACCTATTAAAAAGTGGCCCTTTGAGGTTGAGCTGCCTGCATGAGAGCTGTAAGAGCCACAGAGAGGGCCTAGAGAAGTTTAACCCCTGCATTGTTTGCTGCCTAAGAGGGAACACAATTTCTTCTTGAAAGTTAGTTTCACTGGCACAGCTAAGGGTGAACAGTTGCAAGCTAAAAGCAGCTACTGTCTGGCCGTGCCAATACATCTTTAAGGAGTTCTTAATCCACAAATTACTGACATTATTGTCTATAATTGCTTGTGTGTTGTGACAACACTTACTCAGAGAATGTCAGAAATGTAAACAGCAGCCAATAGCTTTCTGCAGTGAAGTCCTGCCAGTACAGCACTGGGCTCTCTCTTGCACCTTCATACCATCCCAGCAAGATCCCTTTTGTCTCTATATGAGTAAGGATTGCACAATCAAATCCTATATTAAGCAGAACATTTTTCAAGGATATGTGGCTTGTTATTTCTTTTAATACTTGTAATCAAAAAGTCAGTTTGTTCTGTAATAAAAGTTTCTCTTGCTTCAGAATGCAATTTGTTAGTTGTACTTCAAAGTACTAATTGGGAAAAAAATCCTGTCACTCCAGTCACTTAAATTAGACCAACTCCTTTTTCCTCCCAATTTATTTTGAAACCATTCAAATTAAACATTGTGTAGGTACTAATTGATCAGGGATAAATTGTGCTTTACATTATGTTATAAAATTATAAAGGAAGTTTTATAACCACAGTGCCATTAGCACCTTAGTTCTACTAAGTACTACCAAATAAAAAACACACAGACACACATATTTTAAGAATAAGAATAATTCTCACATTTGTCATCTGGGTGCTGGCCCTGAGCATATGAATGTGTGTGTAAATACATAAACAGAGAAATACAATTTAGCCCAGAAATACCACTAAGTCACTGTCTTTTTTTCTTAAAAGAACAAAAACCTTTGAAGTGGACTTAATTCAATTTTTGCCTGCAGAGAATTCTTTCAGATGCAGTATTGTGTGAAAAAATACATTCCTACATAACTCAAAGATATAAATGAGGTATTTCCCACAGTTCCCACGTCTGAGTGCACTGTAAGGAGCATTTTCCTGCTGCAGCTGGGCTAGGCTTCCCTATGCTTTTGAGCACATCGTGTCCCTGCTAGTTCTGTACAACAGGAGAGCCTCCAGTGTTCAGGAAGCTTTACACAGTTTATCTATATCCCTCCACACAGTATGGGGAGATAGGGATAAGCCTCTGGAAACCAAAAAAAAAAATTTCCAAGCTGCAAAATTAGGCCCTTGGTAGCATGGTCAAAGCCTATGCTTTGTCCTCTGCTGCCTTCCCAGGAACTGCAGGCATCCAGTGCTGGAGGAGGATTGGAGGAAATGGGATCAAAACATGCTGGTGAGATCTGGACTAGATTTGGAATCTGTTTCCTCTGTTTTCCAGCTCAGCTGAGGGCTAAGCCCACATTCTTGGGATGACCATCTACAGGAGGACCAGCCATCAAAGCCCCACTGGCAGATCTCACCACAGAGAAGACACTGACAAATGGGTAACACACACAGAAGCTACGAGGCAGAGTAATTAGAAATAGGTTTAAAGAGGAAAAATAGAAGGAAAATAACATATATTTTAAAAAACCTAACAAACCAAAATGAACAAGCAAAAAAATACAACACCCCCCCCCCCAAAAAAAAAAAGAAAAAAACCCCACAAAATTCCCCCAAAACTCTCTCTGTGCCTTGTGTCTTCCTTTGACAGGAGTAATGAGAGTTATTGCATAGGTGTGCATTCAGAGATGTAGTGCAATATGACAAAAACCTTCTGTTGGTCTTTCACGTGGCAGTAGAACCGGTTCTTGACAGGGGGAGAAACTCCATGCTGCTGCCTAATGTGGTTTGATCCTGGGACTTGCAGCTCCAAGTCAGCAATGTTTCATGACCACAATTGGATTTCCATATTATTGGCAGACAGAAGAGAGGGGGAGCTAACAAATAGTTCACCTTTGCAAGCATTGTAACAAAAAATATTCCTACATAGTAACAAAACTATGATAAATACTGTGCAGTTATTTGCCTTGGCAGAGCCTGTGTTTGAGAGCTGGAGAATGCATGAAGAAACACACAACCCACTGTCATGCACATCTTTAAAGTTTCCACAGCTCCATTTTAGTAAATGTGCTTTGTTAAATTAAGCAATTTCTTTTTAAGCCAAGATTATTAAAAAAAAAAATTAAAAAGTCTATTGAGGCCTCTGCTATGCTGTAAATGAGAAATATAATCTGTCCAGACATGGCTAGTGGCTATTCCATGTCAAGAGAAAGGGCCCACCAGTGCCTTTTGCAATCTTCTGTTCAGATGGCCCACCACAGGGGTGGGCAGTTGTGTCTCCTGGCTTTTCCATCCTGCATCTGCAAAGGACAGCAAAAGCCTGGAAGTCAGTCCTTGCAGAGCTCCTCCGGGGTGTTGGTAGCTGGGAAGGTGCTGCTGCCTTTCTTCAAGTTGATTTGGCAACTTCCCAGCTTCTCCATGTATATCTCACCTCCATGGTCCTTCTAGGTAGGAGACCAACCAGCACCTCTGTCTTCTACAAAGCATCTGTAGTCTTCTCTCTACCAGTTGAAATTCCTCTTTTTTCTCTCTCTCTCTTTTTTTTTTTTTTTTTTTTTTTTTTTTTAACCCATTGTCTATTATTTTAGGCCTTTCGAAGGCCTTGTCTCTCTCACTGGGCTGACACAAAGCACACCCATAATATCTGCCATTTCAGACCTTTGGGGATTTTCTTAATATACATAAAAGTGGGAACCTCACTTGTTTTCATATCCTCCTGTCTTGCCAGAACCAAATTGAGTAACCAGAGTACTATGTTGCTAAGGCAGAATGGACTGTCTCCTTTTATGCTATAAAATATATATATAACATAAGATGATAAATAAACAAAATTGTGCCATGAAACAATAATAATATGCATGCCATATTTTTTCCTAAATTTTCATTTAAAAATTACATATTTAAAGGGAACTGCTGCAAATGAAAGATAATCACATCTAGACTGTCATTCAGCCATCTTTCTCTGTGAAGAAAAGTAATCATATACTTGACTTGGAACCATTATTGTTGCCAGACAGATGTTCTCTCTCAAATATGTAGAGTAGAAAGGATGGAAAGTAACCTGGCAGTTTTGCTGTAATAAATTAAAGTGTTAGGACAGTGTCTGCAGCTTCCACAGCTTTGCCAGGCATTTTGTTTAAACATGAGTGATATGCATGATGTTTCTATAAGGTAAGAAAAAAATGCATTCAAGTTAATGCAAACTACATCTCTTCAGGCTCTTTTCAAACCAAATGTTGTCTGGTTTATTAAGCCACTTGTACTTCTGGGACCTCTTGCAGGAGTAGGAAGGAGGAAAAAGCCACTTCCGCCAGGGCGTTTACAAGAGCTATAGCATAGCAAGAGGAAGTTTCTAAAGGAAGAGCCGGATATCTGTACTGAAGTGGATTACAGCTGCACCTCCAAGTCAGATGGAGAGAGCTGAGGCCAAGCACAGATAAATGTGTGAAAACAAGCAGTATGGGGAAGAGCGAAAAGCAGCTTTAAAGCTCTCAAGAAGTAAATGCACTTCATGTCATTGAATTATGTCAGTGGGTAGCTGTAATTTTTGATGTTCATATCTTTACCAAGAGATCAGGCAAAGGAAATAAATCCACAGGTTCATGAAATTAAGGCTTTTGTTCATTTTCAAGCTAATTCTGTGCATTTTCTTATTCAGTGCTGTCTTTCTTTAAATTTAGTGACTGTGTTCATTCCCTTTCTGAGCACTGCCCATCCAAGGCTATGGCACTGGGGCCATTTCCACTTATGCATCTGTCTCCTGTACTGTAGGATTTTGTTCTCTGCTTTTACAGTTGAAGTACATTAAGATGGTAATTTCAAATACTGTTACTGTTCATATGTTTTAAATCTTATGTGTTCCAAAAGGCTAATAAAGGAACTGCACATAAAAAATAAAGGGGAGAGAGATTTATCTGCACTTAAAAGATCTTTCTTTATCTTATCTTTCAAAAGCACTCAGCTGATATTTTGTCCTGTTTCTGCTCTCATTGTGATTCCTGATAAAGCTGTGTGTGTTTAGGGTAATTAAGCTTTCTAACATGCATTGAGGTAGGGAGTAGGCATTACACTGTACACACTCACAGCAAACTTCAGGAATACAAAACAGCATATCCAGATCTGACCAACTTACTGTACATTTCCTTCCAAATTCATTTAGAAAACTCACTGAATTAATTTGGGTTTTTTTCAATGAATCAGTGAAATAAAATTTCATCATCTCCAGAATGAACACAGTCATATTTTCTATGGATTTGGATTGGATACTTTTGATTCCATTAAGTCTTTCACCACTGGACCATTCATATATATGTCCTATTGTCAGGTAATGAGCAACTTCATGGTGCAACCTTTGCATCTCAGTTCTCCAACTATCTATATCCTGAAGTATAATGAATACTTAGCATCATTGAGTCCTCTTCCCTCTCTAGATCTGGGCTGAAATTGGCCAGTGAGATAATAATTCCATCAGGAATTATGACAGGAGGAGAAGAAAAGAATCCATTTAATACCTGTTTTCATAGCAAATGAGATAAACAAATGCAGAAAGCTGGCACAAAGGCTGTCCATAAGCAAGCCCAGAGGACATGTACCTTTCTTGTCATCTGCTCGGGGTGCGTGACTAGTTACTTTTAAAAATGTGGTGTCAGATATTTACCCAATGTGCTAATTCATTTCTGGGCTTGACTCAGCTCTAAAATTAATGCATTTCCTTCCACAAGGCAGTACAAGGATTTCCAGAGTGATAATAGTATTGACTTTAAGGCGTTGACCCAGTTATCCTATAGCTGTGACAAGCAGTAGAACAAAAAGCATCAGGAGAAAATTCTAAACAGAAATTAGTAAGGGCTCTCAAGGAAAACCACAGCTGAGTTACTCAGTCTTAAGAAATGCACATTTTTGTCTATAAATCTCATCCACTCAGTGCTGAGACATCAGTTTAAATTATTGAGCTCAGAAGGGCATGATCCATGGCAGCAGTAGCGTGGGAAGGAGGGAGGGAGGGAATCCAGGTGTTACAGCTCCTTTGAGATAACCTTTGGCCAGCAACAGACTCTTAATTAAAAATTATTGTAGAAGGCAACAGAAGGAATTTGTTTCTGCATTTAAAAGGCCAGTTTATAATCCCATTAAAATGAAGCTTGAATAAAAGGAAGAAAATAGTGTTTTTCTCTTGCAGTATGCATTAACATAACTACTCTGAATTTGGGGGTATTCAGAGAATTATCTAAAGGCCCAATTTCCTGCATGAAGGTGCCTAAAGACAAAGAAGCACATTTGACTTCACAAGCTCTTACACACCAATCAATAAATTCTAAAGAAAGATTTATTTACACAATTCAATAACTCCTTGATGAGACATTCCAACTCTTCAGACTTTTAATGGTCAGATGGTATCATGTTAAAGAGGATTTTCCAGTCTAACAACTCTATTTCACTGTATGTATTTTTAAATGTTTTTAAATGGATAGTCCAGTGTTTGAAGTACAGGATATTTCTTTAGCTGACTGGTCAGAAGCTGGTCTGATCCAGTAACAGCCAACAGCCATTCCTGGCCTGCAATTCTTTGGTGACTTACATGAATTCATTCGATGTGCTCAGCAGAAGTAGCTGCCGCTGGGCAGGAGGCCAAGGAGCGAAAGCGTCACATTTTGCACTAATCAGGTACCTCATTGCTGTCTGCAGTTATGGCTGGCCAACTCTTGGTGCAAGAAGTCCCATTAACTTTAAACTTAGCTCCTTAAAGGGCATAGCAGGGGCTGGTAGTGGTAAACCTGATATCAAAAATAAATGGAAGCAAAATTTGTCTTGCCTAGAGAAATTATTCTGTTACAAGGAAGTTCAAGCCTTCTGGTGTTACATTATCAGAGGGCTTTATCTGTTCAGCTCCCTTTAGAGCATTAATTAATTCAAACTCACATAGTTCCAGTCCCTGAATTCTGCCATCAATTGTCCATATCCATTTAATAGATTAAAATATTAACTGGCATTCCAAGTGCAGTGTCTAAAAATATAAATGCATCTCTTTAAAATTAGCTGTCAGCCAGAGCAAAACCTTCCTTCCTTGCTGTGCTCTGGGAAGAGTCAATGCCTGCATGTTCCCAAGGAAGCTGCTTAAACCCACAGAGTTCTTGCTGCAGTTTCCCAGTTCCCTGCAGTCAGGCAGCACTCCCACACTTTGGTACCTGGGCCTCACTCCAAGTACACAGACATTTACTATGGGAATGGTTCAATTATCACAGGTAGAAAATTCAGACTGGTAGATATGGAAGGGTGAGAAGAAAACCTGTCCAGCTAAAGATGAGGACTCCACCTTTTGTGTAAATAAGTTAGGAGTTCGTTTGAATAGGGGAGATGCTCCAGAACACATTAGCTGAAGGATAAGAACATGACATACTTTTCCCAGGGCTCCTATCTGTGCTGCTATAGCAGGACACACCATTGTGGTGGTGTGTTTGGTGCACATCCCTCTTTTCAACAAATTCATAATCTCACTATGGGAAGGAATGGATCAGTGCATCTTGTATCAGGGCTTCCTGACAGGAACAAGAATTTGGTTTTAAAACACTGTTCATATATCAGTTAGGCTTCCCTAGCCCTGTAAAACAGAAAATGAATTTTAAAAAATGAAAATTAATTTAAAAGGCATTATTAATTTTGAAGATTATTTTGACTCCTTCATGAATGGAGGCAGCTGGTTTTTACTTCAAAACATACCATTTCTGGTCCTTCCTTCCTCTGTACCATACTTTGTAGAGATGAGAGGTGTTGTACATTAATGTCTAACGTGTGTTGAGTGTCACTGCTGTCATGCTGGTGCCTATCGATCCTGTCCTGACAATGCAGACCTTTCAGAGCTTTTGACTTGTGCAAAGCTGGAAGAGGGCTGTGTATTTTCCTGTCTTCCTACAGAAAACGTGCTCTGTGCTCCTAAAAACACCCTGTGTGTGGCTAAATGTGCCCTGAAGGGAACACAGCAGACACTACAGCAAGGCCTTCCTCCCAGAAGCGGGAGGAGGTGCCTCAAGCCTGCCATGGCACCCTGCAGCTTCAAGGAAAGGCTGAAGTTTTCAATGGACAGCAACTGCTCCCAAAGTGGTCAGGTGAAGGTAAGAAAGGCTGATGGGGATGAGAGAGAACCCCTTCCTCTACCTTGCATCGTCTGAAGGAAGTTCCCCAAGACCATCCAGGTGGTTTGGCGATGCCGTGGTGCTAAGTAACATTGCAATAACTTTATCTTTGTGTCAACGGTTTTTTGAGAAATGTTTGAATGGCATCACCAAAATATGCCTAGCAAAACCAAAGTGCAGAAAAATTACAGAGTGGCCTGACATTTGAAGCCATATCAGTACCCTTTTACGAACTAATACGCAAAAACCTGGACATTTTTCCCCTTGGTTGTTAGAATAAGCATGTTAACAGTGCACTGCCACAGCTGAACCCACATGCTAAAGCTGAGATTGCCAAAACTATATTTCAGAATTTCATGGATACAGAATTTCACAAGGTGGATTTGATCAGAGTGGCAAGGCTTACCATGTAGGAAAACTCCGAATTTTAATCACCGTTACTGAATATATTGAAACCTACACTTTACACAAAACAATGGCATCTCTAATGAGAATGCTCCAGCACCTCAGTTGCACTGCTAGCTCCATCATCCATTCCTTGTCATGCATTTTTTTAGTGGCTGTGTGCCCTTGTGCATACAGGAGAAGATCACATTCACACAGAAAGACTTATCTGTGAAGTGCTGAGGTCATTAATCGCATGAAGCCAGCAGAGCACAACAGGAAACATCTCCTTGCTGCAAGATGGTCTTCTTTTTGTGCAGACAGAAAAAAAAAAAAAAAAAAAAAAAAAATACTGTCCCAGCTTTTTCTGATATGTAGTTCTTTGTTTTAAATATTACATGTGAAGGAATAAATATCCTGGCACTGGTAAGCACACCATAGGCTAGGAGGTTTTTATTTGCTAGTTATTGTTTGTCTTATAAATGCTAAAGTGAAATGACGCAAGTGCCCTTTTTGTTGTCATATTGTTTGTTTTAGCTTTTATTGGATGCAATCCAATGGTACCTTTACGTAGGCTCCTGTATAATTAAGATAGTGTGCACATTCTCTGAAAGGAAATCATTAAGAGCCTCTCACAGAGAATGCACTGATTTCCCTGTCTGTGCCTTTTAAGTGGGTATTGCTCACACTCCATCAATTAACTTCTTGATAGTCCAGGCATACTTCAAAAATTAATCCCATGTTAAGCTTCCAAAGCAGCTTTCAGCTGAAAGCGTTCAAGCTGCTTTGCACTTGCTACAAACATGAATTTCTTGGTTTTCCTAATTGTAAGATATTCTTAGGAAAAAAAAAAACAAAAACAAAACAAAAAACAAAAACAAAACCCGTTGGGTTTTTTTTTTCCTCAGAAAACACTTTAGAATCGAGGGAGGGGGGTTGAGTTTTTTGGTTGTTTGCTTGTTTTTAAAGTAAAACAAAACAAAAAAACAGCTCTATAAATCCTCAGATTATTTGATATGTGCCTTGGTTATAGATTTTCAATCACATAATCGAGAGAAACAGATATGATTCTTGGGGAAGAAACCTGGGGATTTAACAACTGAACAAAGAGGATAAAGTACAATTTCACTGTATATTTGCTCAACTGAAACTGCAAACACAAGGCATAAACTTTCCCATTGCCTATAAATAACAGCCTTCCATTGCTACAAACTCTCTGTAGCCTGTATAGGTGCTCCCAGTAGGTGAGGTGTGCCCTGATACCAGGCTGTCACTGCTGGAAAGCTGCCAGGCTGCTGTGCAGCTTAGAACCTGCTCACCTGTGAGCTCCCCTTGGCTGCTTCTGCTCTCAAACTGCCCTATCCCTGCTACACCTCACAATGGAAGATATTCCTTCTCTAGACCTAAGGGGAAAGTCAAGAAAACCCTGTAAAACTAAAGCATGCTGGTGATACTAGAGGGAGAAAAGCTCTGCTATTGCTGTGTTCACCTGTCTTTACTGGGAGCTCAAGCTAAGGATTGAATTTTCTCATCTTTAAACCTACCCAAAATTTTAATAGACTTCAGGGGAGATTTGACATCTAAAACTGGTTTCCTAATTAAAAACAAATAGAAACACAATGTACAGTTACTACAGGCATATTTGTAGATGATCAGTGTGCGACAGTAAATAATGATTATTGAATTGGTATTTGGTAAATTCTGAAACTGAAGTCGAAACACTGTGTGCATTACACCAGGAACTTGCTTGCTTGACTGAACATGCTTCAGCTAAAATTGTATCAAAGTAGTTACAAAACCTGATTAAACAGGGCTTCATTCTCACATGCAACTCCACCTTGCTGGCTTGGCAGTCATAAACTGGCAACACCCTTTTGCTGGGTTTCACAAAGCTCATTAGCTGTTAATAATAGCAGAGCAAAGGAGTTCAGTTCGTTTCCATCACACTGATGGTGCTTAGGGAATCGATGCCCCCTGACAAAGGGTGATGGTTCAAAAAACACACTTTGCATCAGCTCCCATTTTCTGTCTAGCTCCAAAGGCAGCAGACCCAGCCAGCACTGAGGCTCTGTGCTGTCTGCAGTGACAGAATTCAAACCACCCTTCTCATCCACTTCCACCAGGTGAAAGCTGATTTGCTTCAAAAAAAGGTCCCAGGGCACTCAGCAGTAAAGATTGATAAAGCATTCCCAATTCAGAAGTCTGTCAGAAGAGGAAATAAATAGCTATAAATACAGATCACTATTTTTTGCAACATCCAAGCTGCAGACACTTACAAGTCTTTTGTGCATTAATGTGTATCTTAATATATCAGTTCCTAAAAACTAATGCTGTGACAGCACTTGCATTGTGAATATATACATCAGCTGAGCTTACTGCTTGCTGGAATGTTAGATAGTCAGCTTTCAGCAGTGGGGCCTTCCAGCTAAGCTCCTATTCACCTCTAAATACAGTGTATAAGGTCTCAAAAACTGTGATCAAGACAATTAAAATAAAGTTGCGAAAAACTCCATCCAACAAGCTTCATCTCTACATCAATGACATGCAAAAAATGTAATTGCAATTGCGTTTCAACCTCTCGCCCACTTTTGGAGAACAGAAAACATCTCTTCCACCCCCATTCTTTGCAAAATTTCCATTCTGCTTCTATTTAAATGAAGAAAGAAGAATGTGCACTATTTTTCAGACCAGTCACAGTAGTCCAGCCTTAGGAATTTGTCTTCATAAAAAATCACCACAGTTGCAGTACAGTACCCAAGTATTTTTTACCCTTTGCTAACACACAGGAAATGGATTAAAGAAAGGAGGTGAAAGACAGCAATTCTCCCTCCTAAACATCACAAAAAATAAGAGACCGTTGGATAATCCTTGCAAAAGTATATTAAACACTGCTAGATTCTTGACTCTACTGCTCTTCCTTGTCTGCATCATTTTGCTGTATAAATGGGATTTTAAGTAGCTTAGCCTTTCCGAACTATTTGCCCTGGAGAGAGCATTCTGCACTATTCCAAGCACGGCGGGGACTGTCCCCACCAGTTTCCAAGGCACACTATGCATGCTGATGCTCCAGAAGGACTTTGGGAAGGAGTTCTTGTCCTTGGGCACAGCCAAACTTTACTCTTAGAAGGAGTGGGAACAAAAAGACACCTCAGAGCTCTGGGCAGCCTCCTCACAGGATGATAAGGCAGCTTCAGAGGAGAGACACTGAACTTGTTCAGATTGGCCCATTATCCAGAGCTTACAAAAACCATCACGGAGCTGTGGTATGTTTACTAAATTAATATATAGGTACTATCTCCCAAAAACCAATAGCAAAAATTTATTACAAGTCCAAACATCTTCAAACCAGTGAACTGCCGTGGGAGAGGTAGTGCTACTCCTGACCAGAAGTGGCAAGCTGCTGTTTGCAGTTCCCCCCTGCTGGGGGTGGTTTTAGCAGATGTAAAATGTACCTGGTAACTTGACTTCTGTTATTGCTTTCCTCTAAGAAATATGAGAATTAAAGTAATTCAAAATCAAATGTATTTTCTTCCAGATCTGCTAAATAAATAATGTAATAATCAATAAATAAATGGAATCCACTAAATTCCTGCAGGTAGGTTTTCTCTGCAGAGAGAATTGTATGTGTGCCTGCTTCTTCTGAATTTTAAGCTATCTGATAAGCACTAACAGACCTGTCAGTTGTATAGATTCACAATCTATTTTACCATAAAGCATAAATCCAAAAGGAAGGAGGAAATAAAGCAAAGTCCCTTTAAGAGTGGTGCAGCATTCACCCCCTCAGGCACTGCATATGGGCAGAAATCTGGCAAATCTGCCCAGGCGGGTCAGAAGACCAGATCTGCTGACACTTGGGACCAGAGCTGCTGTCAGTGCCCCCATCTAGATTTGCACACAGTGTCTCAGGCAGGCGCGTGGGCACTGGCAGCAGCTCTGGTCCCAGGTGTCAGCAAATCTGGTCTTCAGACCACAAACACTCAAGGCTTTGAGAGGAGAAAGCAACTGGTTTTACATACCTGAAAAGTTGTGTCAGAAGAAAAAGAGAATGATGCTAAAAATTCACCAATTTTTTCCCTTTTATCATAAGTCAAAACGTTGCCATAAACATGCATTATTTGAGAAAAAAACATTAACTTTGTCTGATTAGCTACTTCCATTGATAAACATTTTCATTGGTAAATCTTCAGTAATAAATTGCTGAAATCTGAAGTCAGATGCACACCCAGCAAAGGTGTTTAATTTAGCTTATTATCTCATGTTATTAAAAATACAGAAAATAACCTCTTAATTAAAAAATATTGCCCATGTAAGCAATGGGCTATCTCGAGTCATGCAGTTTGCAATATTAAGTAGAAATCAACTGATTATCATTTTCCTAGTAACTTTGGAGAATCAATTTACATAATCTACTGGCACAACCATTTTCTTCCCAGGTGGAAGATGCTTTGTGACTCATGGACTGACAGCACAGCTGCTTTTTGTCTTTTCTGTGACCTGCCTGGGATATGAAATGGTTGTTGGAGCAACAGGCACAGCTGCACTATGTCTGAATGCTCCCACTGTGAACTCCAAAGCTGTCTGACAATTATGCAGTAGAAAAAACACAGAACATGAAAATCTTTGGCACAGGGCAAGTCCATCAGCCCACATGCCAGAGAACAGGTTGGACACCACTCCTGACAGTGTGTGAAAGCATCTGCAAACAGATATTCCTGAGTCTCCAACTTCTCCTGCTCTTTGGACACTTTTAAAGTAAACCCTTTTTAGTTTGGCATTTTTAGGCCAAAGGCAAGAAGTTGATATTGTGGGATCTTTGTGAAGATTAGCTGGTGGTCACATCAAAGAGTCACTAAATTGCAGCTCTGCCATGAGTAAACCTGTACAGCTCTGCCTAGACCTGTGAGGAGAAACTGCCCGGCCAAGGGGGAATTGCACTTATTTTCTTTCACATTTTTTGGTAACGGAGTAGAAACCTCCATATCTCCTCTCTCCATACCTTCTCCACTGAAGAAGAACACTAGAATAGTCTCCATTTTATCCTTGCCTTCTTTTCCTAGCAGAACTTTTTATGGGCAGAAAATCCCAACAAACAAGCCTGAAGTACAATAATTTTGAAAGTACAGATTTCTGAGTGTTTACAGCTAGTTCCTGTCTTTATACTGGTGATAGCTCCTTCATGGGCTCAATAAAGGGGATGCACCATCCTGTGCTCATGAGATCACAGCATCCTGCCAGGCAGGCAGACAAAAACCTCTTGTTTTATAGCTGAGGAGGTGAAATGTCCCAAGAGCATGAAACCAGGCTTCTGAGCTTAATCTTGCTTTCATGGCTACTCTTATACCTTCAACCTCTGAAAGTCCCTCCAACATGGACAAATCCAAAAATACTTCATGCTGAGCACAGCAGCTGCTGGGCACAAAGACAGCATCTCTGTGGCTGCCCAAACCAAGATAAAAACATCATCAAAATGTGCAGCTAGGAGAAAAGGAGCAGAGGACATTTCCCACTACCATTCTGGAAACAGGGTCTTAGGGCCACCAGTGCTATTAGTGCTCCATCAATCCCTGGTATCACTGTGAGCTCATTTTAGTTAAAAAAAAATGTCTTAGAGAACCAATGAATCCTTCTTCATTTTGCTAGTTTACCAGATGAAATATTACATAATAAAATATTAAGAATGCTGTGGTAGTAAGGACAGGACCACATACTCAGGAAAATATGATATGGTGTTAAAAGGAAATCTCCAACTCTTTCTTGCATCCTGAAGGAAAGAGTGATAAAAGTGGATTTTAATTATTAACCTGGATTAGCTATCACAATACCTGAGAAATTGCCATATGGAACATATTCCAGTATAGCTTTTACTCTTAATGGCCTCGAGCCTTCCAAGAAACAAAATCTGTGTTACATAAACTGATATCAAAGTGGCCTTGCTTTTCCTTCCCCTAGAGCTACAAATACATCAGCTATGCAAGAGCCATTAACGTGCAGTTAATGTGTCCAGTAAAAATTTCAGTGAAACATGCTGTGGTTGCTTGAAATAAGTGTTTGGATGGAATAAAACTATAGTAGTATGAGACTTGAAGCAGAAATCCCAGCTATGTTACCCTTTCACTTTTATTTGTTCTCAACAAAGTTCCCGCTGTGATTATGGCTCTGCTTTAGACCAGAGTGTGAAGGATGTGAGGCATGAAGAACTGTGCTATTCAGCCCTTTAATTATTCAACTCAGCCATTGCTAAAATATCTACTAGTAATATCCATGAAAAGATGACACATCCTTTGTATTTTGCACAGATAAAAGAAATAAGAATCAGAACCAATGAAAGGGACATGAACAACAGTGGCATTGCCTTACGGTCTCCATGAGGCAGTATCAAGTTTCCATCACTACTTTTCAGATTAATGTTTTGTACTGGAGACACAATTTTTGGTGCTTGTAAACATATTTTTCCTTCCGCAAAGTTGTTAAAAATAATAGCGCATATTTATATGAAAGCACCAGGACTAAAATAGCACAAGCTGATTTCCTGTTTCTCCAAAAAGCAGTGTGTATGGGCAAACCAAGCCAAGGCTTCCAGAAGTGCTTGTGAAAGGTTAAAGGTCAGTCCTCTGATTTTGAGAGAGAGATAGGTTTGGGGAGAAGAGAGAGGGGAGAGCTCAAGTGAGATTATTCTTCAGGCTGTGGCCCAGCTGCAGAAGATCTACGTTCAACTTGCTTCCATATTCTTTCAGTAAAACAAGCAAGGACCCACCACAGGCAGAGAGGACAGGTATACAGTCACACATGCAATTTTGGTTAGTAGAAGTGGATAGTGGATGAAGTGGATCCAAACTCTAGGTGCTGAGCTCTGGGCTAGTGAATGTGCAGAGCCACAGGGAACAGTGTGGCTCTGTGCCTTTTCAGTCAGTTATAGCACTAACAAATGCAAGAGCTCACTGTTTCTTCAACCTCTTTTTGCTTACAAAAGGACAAAATTCCTCGCTCTTTTGCTCTTCAAAGCAACTAAAGGCATTTCAGAAAAAAACCCAGACTTAAATAGATGTTGCAGAATATGTAAATGTCATGATGAGATTGACTCTAAGAGAGGCATATTGTATACCAAATGCATGCTGGGTGAGGCCAATGTTTGCCTTTGAATGATGGCACACAGTGAATTCATTGGCACGCTCAGCAGCCCACACTTCTTTCTGAATAATCACAACCTGAGGAAAAAGCTAGGATAGAACACAGCAGTAATCCTCAAAGATTCACACACTTGCACATGTGCACAAGAAGACAAAATGGCAAAAAAATGTCAAACAGAATAGCCTGGCTTTTATTTTTTTCACAGAGCTCTTACCTCTTCATGACCCAGACACTTCTCAGTGTTCTCTACCTCCTCTTCCTAAGAAAGCATCTGAATCAGTTCAACTTAGAGTGGAAGAGGGGTGGAATAAGGGAAAAAAACTCACGTAGTTTTGGCATTTGAATAAATATGAACATATGTTTCTGCTGTTTCATTTCTATCAGATTTGGCTTCTCTGTTGGGTGATTTTAACGACTGTTTATTTGCACACAGTTGTGCAAGTTTTTTTACAGCTTGTTAAGTTAGACTTGAGACGACAGCATGTGGTTCCCTTCAGACATAACTAACTTAAAATAACAAAGCCCATGAATTCCTTCTTAAGAAGCTCAAGGCCATTTGTTTAAAGTTTGAAAAGAATTAGGAACCTGTAATTTCAGGCTTTGTTATGAAACGGGTGAAAAGTTTCTTTCATATTACCTGGCTGGATGCACTCTACAGCTGTGTCCTGCTGCAGAACCACCAAAAAAGTCATCTTTCTATGTGTGTGCTGGTTGCAGAGAAAATTCTGGTTACAAACATATTACAGTTGCATATAACACACCGTAGAGGAGAGGTGACTGCATGAAAAATAGTAGCTGAAACACGATGGCTTTAGGAAAAAGACAAACCAACCAGCAAACAAGTGAACAACAGAATATTTGTCATAGCCCCCAATTCTCACAGTTTAAGGAAGTGTCAAAACTGGAAGAAAATGCAATTTGACTTATCTTAAGCACAGTAAAGAGAGAAATGCCACGGAGATGACAGCAATAAAAACAAACATTTTCTCAGAAGATCAAAATGCAGTCCCTGAAGCACTTCGCTGTAGCTGAAGGTTGAGAACAACTGTATACACCATGCACAGGGGTCAGCAATGAACTGCTGGAGCCAAGTGCCAGCCAGAAAAACAACTGAAACAAGAGAAATACTTGCAGGAGTGATAAGAAGCTTTTGCTGCAACAAAGGGCAGATTTGTTCTATGTAGCTGATAGAACAATATTGGTCTTGGACATGCTTTGATTTGAAAACAGTTCTTTGCTAATCAAAGATATGTTTTTGGCTACTCAGGTGTGGGCAGGCACTAAGAGAAAGAGGCACAGGGTTGCATTAAGTACTGCTCCCTGCCCTGAGAGTGTAAGTCAGCTTGAAGATAGCAGAGTAAGAACAAGCACTTCTGAGAAATCTGACAAGCAAAAGATCAAAAGGCTTCTGCTTCAACTTACTGTTTCCCTTTAATGGCTGTAGGCTGAATGTAGGATTCCAAATCAGTCCCTCATGCTTTTTTACCCCCATGTATGGGCATTACATCTCTTCTCTTCAACCCAGACCTTTGGAGTTTTTCCCAGCACCTTGAAGGAACAGAGTATATTACACTTTTTACATTTAACTACTGTAGGTACAAATCAAAACATCTAATTCTGAATAATGGATACCTTGAACCCCCAAGCAAGCTGCTGCAAAATTACTTTGGTTACAAAGGGCATATTTGTGTCCACCTGTTCTGATTAACAGATTGTTGGAGGAACTCAAAACATGAGAATTTAATCCTGTAGCTTGGACAGAATATTAAAAATATTTGCTTTTTGAAGAGTGAACTTGTGGTTTGATAATTGAGAGAAGAGATACAGCTTATAGACAGTTCCAATTACAATGAAGTATTGATAAAAAGGAGCTGTAATATTATTTTCAGGCACAAATTCATCTCTCAGGAGTGCCAAGTTGCAATGTTTATAAAATGCCAGGAATGCTTTTCCATTTTATAGCAAGTAACTACATTATCTTGCAAATCGCATCTCCCAGGGCCTACTGTATTACAGCCTTAAGCATGCCACAGTTTATTTGAGCATTAGGATGACAGCCCCAGTTGTATTGTGCTGAGGCTTGTGGGATGGTTGCTCCATTTGATGGTACAGGGGGTGTTCAGCTGCAGGAACGGAATTTGCAAACCTGAGTTGAGTCCTCACATCCTCTGTGCAGTGAATGGCATTGACGCCTGTGGATGCCATGTACAACATCCACATGGAAGAACACCTGAAAAGCTTCTCCAGGTGTTAGCACCATCCAAATGCCAGATTATAGACCTGCTTATAAATCTAAACTTATAAATCTATAAATTTGTAATCAAAGCAGATTATAAATCTGCTTTGAAGTGAAATGTCGATATTCTCCAAGGGACAAGCTTACCCCACAACAGCAACACAGGACTCAAGACAGAGACTCTGAGTCTGCTCTTCTACAAATACTGTGGATGTTTTCCCAGCATCCACACAATATATAGCAGCAGCTTCTGTCTGAGCAACCAGAAACAAAACTTTTATGTGCCCTAAAGGTAAATCTTTCTTATGGTGAGAGCACAGTGCCAGGCCCTCCTGGCCTCATGCATATCTTACTGGAACACCATGGCTTCGTGGTCTTCACAGAGAAAGGTGAAAGGGTCCCTTTAGCAGAAGAGCTGCAGAGTTTAATGGTTTCCTGTTCAGAAAAAATGTGAACTGCAGTTCCTTTTGTCTGCAAGTGGTGCTGAGCTCATTTCTCACAATCTAGCAAGGGTCTCCAGGCTGTTCAGTAGCAATACTCCCTGCTGCAACCCGCTGTAATTTTCAATGGCAGTAGGGATGCAAGTTCTGTGCTTTTTTCTGACCTCCTTTTAATCACTGAATCTTACTAATCCTCACATGACATTTCACAAATCAGTCCCACAGGCAGGCTCCGTATGAGAGAGCCCAGGTGGCAGAGAGGCTTATCTACAAATGCAGTGGCTCTGACCAGGCTGAGTGCAACTCCCAGAGCCTACACAGCTTGTCTGGCAAAAATATGGATACCCATGGATGTCTGGATGTGTGTAACTACTGGAGTTCTTGGAGGCTCATCTTAGATGCAGGTGAATACATTTGGCCTTAATTGGCATTTTAGCTTTCTACAACCCTTTTTTTTTGAAAATCTGGCCTGACATTCTCTAACATAAACTCTACTGAACTAATTCTCCAGATTATCCAGGATAATGTTTGCTGAAAGTTAAGTCATCATGTTCTAAGGGTAATTGCTACAGAGCACTGTACATTACAAAAAGACAGATACTGTTCAGTCAGGAAGCCTAAACCCTCCAAAAGGCATTAAGACACAGAAAGGTGAAGGCTGTCATGTTTCTCACTATGCCAAACAAAAGACATCGCTAAAGCAGAATGTAAAACTTTTCAAACTAAATGCTTCCAATGGAAACTTGCGCTGCTGCGGTAGCAGCAGAGCCCAGTCGTGCCACAAGGCATCAGGCAAGGGGAGCCTCTCCTGCTCTCCCAGGGGCTCCCTCTGGAGCAGTGCCAGGGCTGCAGGGCCCCTGCCACTGCACTGGGCCAGGGAGCAGGGCAGCCTGGTGACAGCCAGCAGCCAGGCCATCAGGCATCCCTGCCAGGATGAGGCAGGCAGGGCCGAGTACAGAGAGGGCAGAGGTGTTTGCTGGGCACACGCAGACACCTCACATTGCTCAGCACCCAGGCTGCTGGGGGAGCTGCTGGGGGAGCAGGAGCTCCACCCTGAGCTGAGAGCCGAGCGCCTCCAGAAGCTACAGCCCTGTTCAGCCCCTGAGGTGAGGTAGAGAATGACAGAGCTGCTTAAGCAGCTTAAGCAGCAAGCTGGTGGACTGGAAGCAGGAAGGTGAGACAATTGAGATGGAAACAAACAGCTGGAAATACAAGAAGGCATGGATGACTGACAAAAGTGATGACTGTAATTTAATAAGCAAATACCTCAACTACAAAGTGGAAAATACCATTAAAAGCATGCCACATCAGAAAAGGTTATCAAGCATCCATCATCCATTCAATTAAACATTCATAGCTCAAAGTTAATCAGAATTCTTGGCTTGTTAGTCTTATGAGTTAAAGATTCTGGATTTCCTGGCCCATTTTATGTCAGAAAAAGGACAACAAGACATCACAATCACTGGCATCAGGAGACAAACTCACAAAGTGTAACTACGGCACTCAGACAACATGAACAGAATTTTTCACAGTACCTGGCAGCCAGCTTGGAATAGATTTATTGTTAGTCTATTAAAACTTTCTGACAGCAATCTTCACTTAAATATGTATCTTCTCTTCTTTTCATAATGAAAATCTAATACCTGAAGGTGTAAAGTCATTGGCAGAACAGCAGTATTCTCTTTAAATGTTAAACATGTTTAAACATCAGCTGTTGCCTGCTGGTACTCTCTATCCATTAGTGGAGCTGAGCTCATTCCAGTCCTGTCAGGGGTGGCTTGGTTACCAGAACATCGACTTCCCAAATCCTGCAGGAGAGCAGGAGGAAGCTGAGGCTGTGAGCACAACACTGCATTCTCAAAGAAAGCTGTCTGTCTCTTGGCAACTGGAAAAACAATCTCTCAATTACTGTAGTCTAGTCCACATCTGCTGTTAAAACATTGGAGAAAATATTTGAGCCCTTTCAAATTGTTGATAATGAAATTACACAGACAAGAGATTAGATTGTTCATTTGGAAATGGGTTTAATTAATAGCCTGGAATTTTATTTGTACCCTTTCTAAAGTTCATGATTCAAGTTTCATTTCCTTCCCCTTCTGTAGCATCTCTTGCTGCAAAGTTATGAAAAAGAAAGGAGGAAAAAACTTGTTAATTTGGGTTTTTTTCCCAAGTAATTCAAGGCAGAGCATTAGAACTTCTGTTAAAACATACCTGCTCGTTTTATGGTTCAGTAAAAGTCACATGCAGCAGTAGGGTTTGGAAGGTCATTTGACAGTCTTGTGTCCAAGGCTTGCTCTGAGCAGGGCATTGTGTCTCATCTTCAGTGGCTATATTTTTACATATATATATTTATTCTTTTTCACATGTTCTTTGTACTTTCTCCCCCTCACACTTGTGAAACACTAACACTTGTCAGACTCCTGCCTTACAGTGCACAGGCAGCTCTCTCCATTTTAAGGCTTAAATAAAGGTGGTGGGAGCTTTGACTTTTAGGCAAATTTGAAAAGTTGGCAAATATCCCTTACGAGGTTGTAAACACATTTCTGTGACTAGAAGGAATTTATTCAGACATTTCTAGCCATGAGAGGAATGCACTCCCCTTAGTCTACTTAATGACTTTTATATTCTAAAACTCTTTCCTGCTATGATTTTCATGAACTACTTCAATTTTTAAACTCTCACAGCACAAAGCAGTCACTGTTTAAGACAAAGTAAATGTAATTCATAAGGTCATTACTTACCTAGAAAACAATATTAATTAAATATCATTAAAAATGTATACCTAGGGCACAGGAGCTGCAAACTTCTATGAGGAAATAAACCTTCACCAGGAGTCTCATGAAGGGGCTCCTCATAGAGCATTGCAGACATTATTACTGATCTGCTCTATCCATGAACCTCCTGATATTTTTATTATGTCATCAAGTAAGAAAATAATTCCTGTCTTAAAAGTAACTATTGCTTCCTACACTGCCTCTTTTGGAGTGAAAGCTAGAGAAAACTTTGATTACAAAGGCATAGCTTTTTCTGAGACACTGTTTAATGAAGCCACTTTTGTTTCCTATTGAACAGCCTTTCACACTTAAATTTTGTTGAATGACAAACAATAGCCATGGGGAAATTAAACACTGAAATCTGCAGACACTCTGGAACAATATTTGTTTAACAGCTGCCGAACTCTGGAAGTAACAGCAAAGAGTATTATGTAAGAAAATCCTGTAACCCAAACAGATAATATTCTGGTTAACATCACATTGAGGCTCTACTTGCTGCAAACACCAGTTGTTAGAAGAAAACAATGTTCTGCTGAGGATCCATGGTGCAGAACTATTTGTTCAGTCCAGAAATGTAACAACCTAGAAATGCTCAATCAATCAAATTCAGGTAATTATATAATTGCTATTGCTTTAAAAGGAAACAAATATATAATACAATAGATGACTTGGGCTGGCTTCGTCTTTGAAAAAAATATTACTGGAATCTATCAAGATTGTACACTAGATGGTTCCAGTCTTCAGAGCTAAAATTGAATGCATAAAAATAGATCTGGAACTATCAAGAGCTGTAAATGCAGGCCTGGACAAAGAGTTGACAGAAATAAATGAACTAATTTGACCTATATTTCTTAGCAGAATGTACCAGATTTCATGCCACGATTGTTTTATGATAGCAAATGGAAAACAAACTGCTATTGTTTAATCTTGGTAAATAAAATATATTTTTATGAGCATTGACCCAGAAAAAAAGTTGACAGTTTGCCAAATAGGTATATTTTTCCAGTGCTACCAGATATTTTAAACTAAAATCTGAAGTTGGCCAGTAAATTAACATAGTTTTAAGTGACATCATAAATTGTATGTTTATTTGGCTGTTACCACAGATACTTCAAAAGTAACAGTGAAGAATTACCATTTCAAGAGAGGCCATACAACCTTTATGAAATTAGTAATGTTACTTATTCATTCCAGATAGATGAGATTTCAAATAATTATCCAAACTACAAATAATTCAATTAAGTCAGTGCAACACTTCAAATCTGGTTAGCAAGTTTTACTCAAATTGCCTCAGAGGGCTTTTAGACAGCCTTGTAGGAAATAAATTAGATAGCAGGACACTTGGTAAAAGTATACCATTTTTTAATAAATCAGTATAATCATCATCCGTAACAGTTAAAAATTCCTATTAAAAAAGTTGGAGGAGCTACCTTATCTAGTTTTATGGAGTTTCACTTAGGTACAACAAACTGTAAAGTTTGAATTCAAGAGACTTGATCATAAATATGCAACTATGAAGACAAATGCTGGAGAACTCTTTGTCTTCTGCTTAAAAAGAGCACAACATAGTACCAGTGGAGAAAACTGAGTTTATTCCATTAAACCAAGAGCCACTTTTCCATCAGCTTTGTCAGAGTTATTGCATATGACAATATCATCATCCTAGCTCACCCAGTAGTTGATTTTACTGGGATTAAACATGTCAGTTTTATGCTGTTCTAAGATGGATGTTGTAAAAAGAAAATCAAAGATCTTTTCCCGACACATTTTTCTTTCCAGCAGAAACTTAGCTAAGGATAACTTTATATTTAAAAATTCTATGACTGTCAATATTCATGTCACTCCAGCTCCTTGAAACTTTTTTGGCAAAGCAGAAATGCCCATTTTTGCCCTTTTTGCTGTCCTGAGGGGACATCTTCCATGTTTGGTCTACATCCCCCACATCACATCACCTGCACGTGGTCACTGGTACAGCAGACATGGGGCCAGAGAAACACAAGGTCCTGAGCCAGGCTTTGCCACATCAGATCCCTGGCACAAGTGGACAGTGTAGGGACTCATTCAGCCCAGGGGAGAGTCAGATGGGACAGGCAGAGAGAAAGGAGACCCTTCAGCAGTTTCTCCTGCCTTTATACCTTAGCACCCTTTCAGAAACACCAATGCTCTGCTCTAGACAAGATTTTTATGGTTTTTTTTGTCTGTTTAGCAACAGGTAGGTTTCCTTTATCTACAGACCTCAGTGCACTTCCTGTCCTAGGACAGAAGTGTAGAGCTGACCATTCATGAAGGGTAAAGCCAAAGACCAAGATAAAATATGTACATATGTATATGCAGTTCCAGCTGCCAACATTGAGGCTGAGCAAGTAAGTAGAAAACCCCTCTAAACAGAGGGATAAAGAATGTATGTTTTATTGACCTTAAAGGTCCCTTGAGTTTTCTCTGTGTTGTAGCACAGGAAATAAGGTCTGGACTGGGACTGCTAATTTCCCATTTGCTTTTAAGCTTCAAGGATATGACAACAAGTCTGATGCTCTAAACACCAAACCAGCAAGAAATGTGAGCCAACACTAGAGGAAAGACAGGCAAAAGGACTAACCAAAATCATCTCCCCCACTCCTTGTTTTCTTAAAAATCTGTTAATAGAGGTGTCTTTTTAATGCAGTCTCTTCCTCTGACTGATTAGGTGTTTCTTTCTTTACAGTTCTGTTAACATCTCAGTAATAGAATTTGGCCAGACAAGGTTTAACTGTGCTGCACTGCCTTTTTAAATTTTTTTAGCTTCTGTTCAAAGGCTGTTCTTCTCATAGTACCAGTAGGATCACTTGGAAGGATCTTTGTCTATCCAGAAGCTCAGCAACACAGGACCCAGTTTTCTGCAGCCACTTATGGACTGTCCTAACAAATCTCACAGGAATTCAAATGCCCAGGCTCTGTCTATGGCTCTGCCACTTTTGAAATGGATACACAGATTTGATGGGATTGTCAGACCTTTGCGTCCTTGAGGGCCACAGTGCTCTGCTCACTGGCCACAGCTGAGGAGCAGCTGCCACAAATGGCCCCAGCACAGGGGAGCCAGCACAGGCAGCTCCCGCTGGAGGAGCTCCTGCTCTCCACTTCCCTCGTGCTTCTCCTCCTCTGTGATTCACTGCTTAGACACAGCTGCAGAGGGCATTAGTGGGAGAGATCCAGATGAACTTCACTTTGTTTTTGTGACACTGCAGTTCCCAGTTAAGTTTATTTAGGGTAATAACATGGCCTCTGGCGAAGGCAACGTCTCAGTCACTGCCATGGCAGTGCTACAGAGGCAGTGAAAAGCTAACTCTTACACTCAGTGTGTTATAAAAGATAATTTGAATTTCTGATGCATTCTGACACAACCACTGTGCACCAGCTAATGCTTTTACACAGACACCCCAAGACAGGGGATAACTTTACACTGCCTTTGTTATTTATGTAGGTGGCCCACCACAGTCCATGGGATAGGTGATGCAAACGATGCAAACTGCATTGCAATTACATTTCATGTGGGTCCTGGTTTCTGATGCACATTATCCTACTGCCCATGCTTGCAAGCAGAGCAGAAAGACGCGCTCCCTGCCCACACAGAAGTCTGGTTAACTTACTTCAGAGCATAGCTTGGGTGTAAATCAACATGTATGCAGTGCAAATCATTCATAGGGACTTGAATCCCTTCATGAGAGAGGGAACTTGGCAAGGCAATTAAATAAATTTACGTTATTTTCTTTAGATTCTTCTGCTTAATGTTATTGCTTAGACAGCAGTTTCACAGGTAGTCCCTCAGGAACAATTCAGTCCAAGAACTGAGTACAATAAATTTTTAACCCTGGCTAATTTTTTGGCGAATGCAGATTGCCTTTCTGAGCAGTGAAAAATCTTGCTAAGCTCAGACCGTGACAAAAGCAGCAATAGCTCTGTAAAAAGACAGCTATAGGTACAGTTTGTATGGCTGTTTGTAACATTCTCCAACCTGGGCAAATTGACTTTGTGTTATCGTGCATGCTCCTGTCCTATACCTCAATTAAATTTCTCACACCAGCCTAACATGCTCCTAATTTCACTGAAATATTTTAATGAACCACATTCAGCACCAATTTATACTAGAGATCCCACCTACGTTCACAG